ATTTCAGTTCAGTTAAGAAACATACTTGAAGAGCTTCCTTAATTCCCATCTATAAAGGGCATAATCATAGAAAATAAATGACACAGTAAGAGGTAATATAAAGACTCAGATATCGCCCTCATGAACTGTATTTTTCATATCATAACTCATTTTTAAAAGGCTCATAATAAACATCAAACTTAAATATTCACTGACAAAACCTAAACCCCCAGACCAAACGTATCTGGTTGAGTTAGAAAATGAAAAACTGGGTTAACTTGAGGGTTTTAAAAAACTTATACAACTGGTCTTTAGGACTATTGTTTATTTATTTTTTGCTCAAGGTCATTTTATTGTTGTTTTAACACTAACAAAATACATTTATAAGACAAAATGTCATATAACAAAATATAATCCCCCCAACATTTTGTCACACACAGGCACACACGTTTTTTTTTCTCCATGTAGGCTACATATAAACATTGAGAAATTGAAGCTAGAAAATTATTATAAATACATAATCTAAGTCAAGTTTGACAATATGAAACAATTGTAATTAATTGCAGTTGACAATAAACACAAATGTAAAGGCAAAAACAATAAATTAAAATTAAGAAGGGAAGAAAAGGAGAAAAAGAAAGAAAGAAGAAAATATGAAAAGAAAACAATAAATACTCTACATTATACAGTATACAGTACAGTACATTTAAATAATTCCTCACTGTTGTGTCATTTTTAAGTTTATTTTCTAAACTATTATCTTATCTTGCTTTTATGGTGGAGATGCTTTATTTTAGTTGAGTAACTTTGCAGGAAAAAGTACGTATTCTATTGTAGCCTACCAAAAACATTACTTTTTCAAATTACAATATCCAACAGCTATGGGTTGAATGGTTGAAAAAATAACTCGGACAGGAGTTTTTTTCCCCCCATGATTTGATTGAGATTCCGGAAATGGGCGTGGCTAACGAATTACCTCACAGGTGTGCTTGTACGAACCAGTTTTTGCGGACACTGTTTGAAATGTTTGGTACCAGTGTGTGTGTGTGTCATACCTCTGTGGAAAACTGCTTTGATTTATACGACCGACCAGTTTCAATCACAGACTGTCTATGAGTTCAACAGAGAGAAGTCGTTTCAGATGCTCGCAGCAACACTATCCATTAAAAAAAAACGCCGACATAAAGGTAAGCTGCCAACAAACAACCTTTCATTCTGTCTATTTTCAGGTAACTTAAGTTTTTATAAACTTTTAACAGTTTTAAACACAATGCAGCACATCTTAGACCAAACACAGGAGGCTATGTCATCTCCTAGAATGACACTCATGCTCCTTAAACCTCCATTGACCCCCACCTAAGATAAAAAAAAGTAGGCTACACTTTATAGCGCACCAGATAAAAATTGATTATCTGTAAACTTCAACATCTTGTAGAGAGAAATGTCAAGACATAACATATATCTTCAGGGCTGTAGAAGCATTGGCTTATATCCATTTCAGCTAGCCTAGTGAACCTCAGTTGCTACCTTCTGACTTCCAGGTAATTTATTTTATTTAATTATATTTTACCTTTATTTTACCAGGCAGAATTGCTTGAGATCAAATGACCTCTTTTTAGTGGATACACCGGTGTTTCGGTTTATCGAGTGACCCTGTCAACTGGTGTCTTTCAGCCGAATGTTTCTGTGGTTGTCATAGTTACCGCAGCTGTTTTTGCGGTGGAATTAAATTGAAACTAGTGTAGTGTTTGGTTTCAGTTTATTTCACCCTGTAAGATAAGAATTAATATTAGTCTCAAAAAGTCTTTATTTGTCATGTTGTCCACTTGTAGAATTTGGTTTTGCAGTTGAATGTTACAGAGTGTCATTTTCAGTGGCAGTAAATAATTATAGGCTACAGACCATAGACTGTAAATGATATAATTATAGGCTACAGACAAATAAGACACAGTGTTTTGGTTACTTTTGTTTCTTTGGTCACATTTTTCTGACGAGACAAAAAAATGTAAGGTACGTTTGAACCCTGTTAAACTTTAGAACCAAATGTTCCCTTTAGAAACCTAATAATGAAAATTTGAAGAAGGGCAATTGGGTTGACCCTGAGTGGGAAATTTTGGCTTTGGGGTCTTTATATGATCAGATTAAATCACTCTGATTCATGAGTGGGGATCACACAATCCTCATTGCTTTGTCAGATGAGGATTTTAATTTGAGCCTCACCTGATGGATGCCGGTAATTTATGCTGATTAGAAATAAAGCATCATACTTTCCTTTATCTGCCCCCACCCATCCTGACGGGAAGATTTTTTTTAGATGGGTATGAGGAGAGCAGTTGATTAGTTGTAATGTGACCGCTGTACCCCACGGGCTGAAATTTATGTCCTCAATTTGAACTGTGGCTGTGCGTGCTGTATACATCAGGTTTGTTAATGAATTTTGTCGCCAGAAGGAAGTCAATGTCTTTGGTTTTTCCAACGCTGTGACATCTTAGTGTGTGAAATCTAACCTTTCAAACTTCGAGTCAGCACTTTTTTAATTATTGTCTTATTATTTTCCACATCAAAACAGAAAACAAAGTGCTTCTTTATGGGTTATTGCTTTCAGGCTGTTGATAAACTATAAAAAAATAACAAATTATGCAAGTGTTATTCCATTATTGTTAATGTCTTGTCCTGTTTTGTTCTGTAAGTGTAACACCACTAGTCTGGATGGAAAACAATAATCTTTTTATTAGTTAACTTGCAGCCACAATACAGTATACTCCAGTACCTGCTACTTGTGTGGATGAGTTGTAAAGTGAGTTTCAATGCTGTGCTGTTGTAACATGTGGAGCTGTGTATGCTGCTGTCCTCTCCATCCTGTCTATGAGTATATGACTGACAGGTGTCAGGCTTGTCATGGCTTCCCAGGCTGCTGTGGGTGAGATGTGCGAGGACAGGGAGAGATGGAGGCGGAGGAAGAGAGTCTGTCATTTCATTCAGGCTTTTCTCTTTTCTGACACGCATCCTCACCCCCGTATTGTCTATCAGCATCAGCAGATGACTGACAAAGGCACTGCTCAGATACAGACAGGTCCACATCAACGCTATGTGTGCATCTACTTCATGTACCTGAATGGCTTATCCAAGTGTGAACATACACGATCATGCCATGCCACCGCTTTGCTGCATCAGCATATCCTTCCAGTGATAATCAGACCTTGCAGTGTAAGCATTCATCAAAGTTGGACTCAGCCTGCTGCCTGCTCTCTGCATGCCCTCACCTCTTCACACTCACTGACTGACTGACTCGATTCTGGCCATCATCGTGCTGACTGCTTTCCAAAAACTAGATTTCACAAGTGGAAAAACAGCATCTGCTTTCCTACAGCTTCACATATGGCGGCCATAGCTGCACATATGAACTGAAGCAGGTAAAAAGGGTAGGGGGGGGCTGGCCCCTCGGGACCTTGAACAGAGGGCCTGACCCTGGGGACTCTGTTGGGCTACTCAGCAGTGAGGGCCACGCTGGCCAGAGCCAGATGAACCTGCATATGGAATGAGGCCATAGTGCACAGAGTCATGGGGACCATGAACATGTAGGAGAGAAGAGGAAGTGCATCCTTTGTGTGGTACTTAGAAAAGACAAACTTTTATTGCTAAGTTGAATTGATTATAAATTTGCGAAATAGTTAATGCAAGATAATGTATTTTAGGTAAATAATATTCAGCAAAGTATAATTGTATACTTTTGTTTGGTCAAAATCACAATTTTATTGATTTTATTTCCATTTAATCAAAAGTTTGTTTTAACTTCTAAACCATAAGGGGACGGATCGTAATCATTGTGACCTTCATCAACAAAGTTTGTTCACCTGTCAGTTTACATGAGTTCAACAAGTTCAACAGCAAAAAGTCAATCAAAAAAAAGAAGAGAAACTGAACTATGTCCAGGTTGTACTTCAACAAATAGAGGTTTGAACTAGTGTAGTGTTTGACAAAAATTCTGATTTAGAATAAAGATGCACCAATCCATTTTTTTTCAGTCCTTATCCGATTCCAGTACAAATGTACAGATACCGATACTGATTCCAAAATTTTACAATAAATAATGATTAGCGTTGTTGTTTGTATTATGTGTAACGCTACACAACGCTGTAGTAAACCCATCATTGCATTATGCTGGCTTTGCATACAAACAGGAAGCAGCAACAACTTTCTCATCATTTTCAAATTAAGTATTTTAAACTGAAGTGCAAGAATTGTACTTTTGATCATAAAGAAGGAGCTGTTCCAACTCGTCTGAATTTTGTGGGCACTTGCAGTTCAGTCTGAAGGTCTTCAAAGCAAGACTGTGTTGAGAATATTTTCTTAATCGGTCACATGGATCGGCGCCGTCAGTCCGATAGCCGATATGTAAATTACATCAATATCTGACCCGCTATCAATATTAGATCAGATCTGTCCCAGCTCTAATTTAGAATATTGAGGTTATTAATAATTAGACTTTAAACCAAAAGCCAGTTTCCAAAGTTTATGAATTCATGACGTGTGTAGCCTTCCCGAAATTTTAGATTATCACCAAGCTCTAAAATGAAAACTCAACATGAGGTGACTTAGTTTTGCACTGATATCAATCAGATTGAATTAGACGCATAAAAATCAAACTGCTCTGCAATTTTGAGAGAGCTTTAGGTATTTCTAATGCTGAAAAGACTGTTCAGATTCTAGTTGTCTAACCCTGCTGCTCAATGTTACAGTGTCATAATGACAGTTGTATAATAATCATTTTGAGAACCACTGTTTTGAGCTTGCTAGCCATACTGGTGCCTGCATTTTATGTTTGTTTGCAATTTACAACCCATTCTATTTCCTGTACTCCTGCTTGTAAATCCAAGTTTTCGCATGAATACATCTAAAAACTGTCTCCAGACTGTGTCTACTCCTTGGGTCTCACATATTAAGGTGTTTTATGATGTACTTATGTTAACTTTTCTTTTGTGTGTGTGTGTGCAGACTGTCTCCCTCTCTCCCCCCCCCCCCCCTCCTCTCCCCTACCACTGGTCTCGCTCTAGTGGCTGCGTTACCGGTGATCACAGCCTGACAGACCGTCCTTGGGGAGCCAGGAGCACCGTTTACAGCTCTTTTGGTGTCAATGCCTCCTGTCTGCTCTAATTCCCACCTCCCCACTGTGCCTCCTACTCTTCCTCCACACTTGTCCCTACTCAGGACACTCAAATCCATTACACCGAGGAGCAGACAGGTCAGAGTGAATGTTGGAAGATGAATACACTGGTGGCTCAGGATTTTGCGTAGTGCTCTCTTATGAACAAACATACAGATGCACTTGCTCTCTCACATGCACATGTATACCCATATGCAGGAATCAGAGATTAGCAATTAGTTTGTTAAATCATTACCCATTTACACCTGTAGACCACCCCGAGTAGAAATGTGTAATGATTGCTAATTGGCTTGTTAGTATGAAAACAAAGCAGCGTTTTTTTCATCAGCTGAAGGGCTAAATTATCAGGAAACAAACAAGTGGAGGGGAACATATGAATAAGGATGTTTTTACATGAGCATCTGTGGATACAGCTGCTGCTCGCTCTGACCATCCTGCCTTCTCCTCTCTGTTTTTTCTCAGGCACAAACAAACAAACAAGACAGCCGCCCCATGTGCCTGCTGCGGGTAAGTGTTACAATCTTCACACCCAGTTGTTTGTGACACCAGTTCATGCCTCTCTTATAGCAGCCGAGAGCCACATCCATCTACCGTCTACCTTTTTTCATCTTAAAAAATATATTTTGGGGCTTTCTTTAATTGAGTTTTGTATTTAAAAAAAAAAACAATAAACAAACAATAAAGAAAAGAACAACAAAAATGGATACAAAACGAGAACCCAGACATTTCAAGAATGTGAACATACATTATAAATAAATGGAACAATAAATACATATCTGAATACACAAGTGTACAAACGTGTGCATCTGCACACTTAGGAGTAGTTCAACAGTGTACAGTAATAAAGCAGGAAGTAATTATGTTGCACAGAGTTATCGGTTTAAAAAGTGTTACAGTTTTTTCCCACAAAAAATGCGTCAGAGTCTCTGAAGAAACTTCCACAACAACCATCGTTTGTCAGATGTTTGATTGAGGTCACGAGGTCTATTTGTGACATCTACACGTTGACCACTGGGACCTGCAGAGCATACCAGTTTAGAACTCCAGGAATACATTTATGAACAGAAGAGGAGACAAGGGACATCCCTTTCTACAGCGCTGAAAAACCTTCCGACGTCAGGCCATTAGTATTGGAGTCCTATGAATATAACTCTCTGACTTACTTAATATTTAGATGCACTGAGGTATGATCTGATAGAACAATAGAATCAAAATGGTAGGCCTGGACTGCATGTAAGCATTTTCTAGTCTTGAATATGAATTACGAAGATGCAAATAAAATGTAAAGTCTCTAACTGTAAGATTCATCCGATGCCACTATCAAACCGGAGAAACATTGCAAGTAAATCACAAGAATGTTGTGTTAACTTCTCGGGCTCCTACCGCAGAAGTGAGCCAGAATAAAGCCTCTGTAGAACTTATAGATGAATCAGTGCCATATCGCTATGGACCTCAAAAAATGACAGCGCTTATGTTGAAGTCGTAGTTTAAACGCCGCACAGAAAAGGAAGTGTTGCTGCAAGTTGTTTAACATTAATCACTGGCTGCACAGGAATAACGTAGATATTTGCATCTATTTCCAGAGGCATGTATCGTCTATCACGTAGGTTCCCAACCTTTTTCCTTGCCCCCCCCCCCACACACACGCACACACACTTGAATCTGAGAAAAGCTGAGCCCCCAGACATGTTACCACAGCCACATCTTAATGATAGTGACAAATAGTACTCATGGGAATTCGTTTCCTATCCAAGAGTGTAAAACTTTAGAAGTAGCTACCATGCTATAAAAAAAAAACACCCTCTTTTTTTCCATGGTCCCTAATATATTTCCTTCTGCAGTTCTCTCCTTGTCCACAGACTAATGTGTTTACCTCTGCAGTCACCTGCCACTACGGGGGCCACAATGAGATTCGGGGGGCCTTTTGTCCCAATCAGCTTTTCCTATCAGGCTAAATGCTCTCTGGAGACGGGGCTTATTATATGACACGATCCTCTGAGTAGATAAATGGCCGTCCATGTCACAAGCAGGACCCCGCTCGTGTGGGGGTGGATGGGGTTGAGGAGACAGACAGCTTGGGCCCCATGAGATGAAAGGAGCCCACAGCCTTACTGACGTTTTAATCAAAAACAGTTAGCACTGAATCAGAGTGTTTGCAGGCAGAGCTGCAGGGAGGCTTTTCATCGCTGCCCATTGGAAATATGCAAGGATTGAAATTCAGACCTTTCTGACATATAATTTACCTGCTGTCAGTCTGTATGGGCCTGTTTTATCATGAGGTGTTGTTGTGATCCCCCCTCCCATCAACATCACCACCACCACTGACGCCTGGCACACATACACCCCCCCCCCCCACCTCCTCACAGTCAGCCACCTGTTACAACCTCAGCTAAATCATTGAAAGAGTTTGGACATCTCATTAAGAAGATTATCTTTATAGAGTTATCATGTCATAGACAAGGCTTCTCAACACTGTGTTATATACTGTGGTGGTTATTGAGAAAAATGGGAAAAAAACAATGTAAAGATCGTGCTATACGTATGGATGTGAGCATATTATTTGAAAGGCTCTTCACACTTATTTAGTTGTTTTCTGAATGAATTTTTTCAGCCGTGAATTCAGACTTTTATTTTTACAAAAGACATTTTGGCTTTAATTTGTGTACACTATTTAATGTTTTTGTCTCGGTTATTCATTAGCAAATTCTCTAATCTTTTTCTTCTGATGTTCACGTAAACATCCTCAAAATGAAGCTGAAGTCAGCACGTTGACATCATGTACATCTTTTATGTTTCAAATCTAATGTGAAAAAACAAAACGAACAACGATAAGCTGCCCTACAATGATCTTCCTGCACTAAGACCATCTGGCCACATTACCTTCAGCTTTAAAGGTTTAGCAAACATGTAATAATAATACTAATAATAGATATATTTTTATGTAGACGTATAAATGCATCATGTAAACACAGAATTTGTTCCCTTTTTAAAGTGATGAACTTCAGTCATAGAGCCAACTGATGATTGTAGTAAGAACATCAAACATCGAAATACTACTTTAGATCCTTTAAAGTCAAATAATATCGTATGCAGGATTACAGCATTTTAAATATTGTTAGCATGTTTCTCTAAGGATGATGGGCACATGTATATAATTCATATCCAGAGTGTGCGTTATTTTTACTTGACAGTATGAAAAATGCATCACACCATCTTTATGTTTACTTAACAGAGTCTCCTTCTGGAAGAGAAAATATGAATGTTACCTCGGTTCACATCCCATCTCTCCCTCAGGAAACGAATGTTGAGAGAATGTTAAACACCGGGAGGTTCAAACGTTAGCATTTGTGATAAATTGTTCATTTTGCTGTAATCCGACTCGGGGAAAGCTGTGAATAACTTTGCACACTCAGAATGATGCGGCTAATTGTAAAACACACCCCACTGGGTTTTCAAAGATGTCACAGACTTTTCATCAAACATTAACGCCTTGTTCCAGTGGTTTCATGCAGTTTGCTCTTTACGTCTCGCTTTTAATGACACTCTGAAAAAAAAAGAAAACATTCAAACTAATCATAAATTACTAAATGATAATGGGAGGAGGGAGGGGGAGAAAAGGCTCCTCTCCCCGGCCGGTCATAAGTTGATCATCTTAAGCTCCGAGCTGCAGGTAGGCAGTGACAGCTGCTTAATTTGGTTTTGTCATCGGGGTGACTTAATCCTGTAACGGGCCCCAGTGACTGCGGCCTCACAGACGGCTGAGAGACAGAACGGCACTCTGGTTGCCCGTTTACGGACGCAGCAATAGAAACCAAGGTCACTTTAATTAACTGCCAAATTACAATTTAAACGATAATACTAATCACTCACTTTTGAGCTAGCAAGAAGCTACTGGCTGTCATGTTAATTTAAAGCTGAGGGGGAAAATGGACGTTTCCACCTCTGCTTCACAGTGGGGTTTGAATCTGAGCTGTTCATTTGCTCTGTGTGCTTCAAGGTGCCCAAAACAACCCCAGTCTCTTTTCCCTTAGTGGTGGACAGTACCAAAGTACACTTTCTGAATACACTGAAGTTCATTCTGTGACTATCTGTACTTTACTGGAATTTTATTTTGGGGGAAACTTGATACTTTTACTCCACAACTTCTGAAAGATAAATATTATACTTTTGACTCTACTACATTTCTATACATTTTCTTGATACTTTCTGGTGTTGCTGTACTTGTATCGCGCATCTCCATGGTTGAACGTAGAGCAAACGTCACTCAGATCAGAAAATGTTGGCCGCTAACACCGCTGCAGACAAATGAAAAAAAAGCAAAGGGCGCTTTAGCAGCCCCAGGAATATGAATATGCAGTACAATTTAATATTTCAAGAGGCCTCGCACCGACTGAAATGGCTGTTTTTTTTTCTCAGTGTAAAGCCTGGCTGACATTTTCGCTTTGATAATTTGAATTTAATCAAAGCCAAAGCGCATTCACTTTCCACACCATCAAAATAACAGGAAATGGTTAACGTTGTCTCTTGAGGCTTTGAGACCTATCTTAAGGTTCCGGTTATTGGCTCAGCTGCATTTGAATGTTGGTGTAAGGCAAAGGTAAATATTCATTACAGTACAGTTTGTATATTATTACACTATAATTGAATATAAAATAAAAGCGCTGCATAAAATAAGTGATTTTTCCCTATCGTCAACTTGTATGATAAAACTGACACTAAAACTTAAACTCTCTTAAAAAGAGTGAAATTACTAACTCAATTTTCCTTACCCAGTTTGACACATTTGAATTAGGTTGTTTTGTCCAAAATCCATTCATCAAATGACAAGTTAACTCCTATGGGCTCTGAAATTCCAGTTTTAATACCAGCATTAAGTCACAATAAACATCTTCAATGAGTAATCCAAATTGTTGCACACTTGCTCATCAACTAATTGATTTCTTAGTTGATCTCTGCCTTTATGACTCTGATTACCGAGTCTTTCCCCTGTGGTGGACTGTATCATGCAGTCGGGTGTGACGCTGTAGAGACTAGGTAAGGTCCAGACCATGGGATATTTATTCAAGCCAACCTCCACCCCATTACAGTTACTGCCCATCTGCCACTGCTGCCACTCGGAGCCCTCCTAAAGGTTACTCATTTACATATGGGTTGGGGGGGGGGGAGCATCCACTGATAACAGAGCTTCAATCAATCAGTGCATCATGATTAGTCCCATGTAAAACCCCAGCAGTTGGTTAAAACTCTGCCCACTCTCCTCGATGCCACTTTTTAAATGAGGTCCTGGAACGCCTCGACAACAAACTGGAAACAACTGAATGGAAAAATTCATAATTTCTCAGATAAATTATGACGGGGGGCCTGAAATTGATTTATTATTGTGATCGTTAGCCATATGGCACTGGCTGCTTCCCCCCTCCTAACATTCAAAAATGTGCGATTACAGGGCTAGGTCGGAGCAACCTTTACCATTGCACAAATGAATCTCAGTCAGAAGGAAAACGGAGAATTCGCTTGTGTTTCTATGAGCTGCGATAGCACTGACACTTTGTTGTTTGACTCCATGAATGAATTTTTTTTAGGCAGCATGTTTCTTTATTTACCCATCAGTCAGCTTCGGAGCAGCTAGCATTCTTTTTTTTTTTCGGCCTTTATTGATTTCAAATATTCACACTTCTTTTCTGCTCCACCAACTGCAGTGGAAAGTATTTGGTTCTTAAGCTATTGAAAACTACTCCATGCTCTTGAGCTTTTGCCTTTGGTGCAGAGCAGGGGGTGCACAGGGATTTTTGAGAGCCTGCTGAGAACACTTGTCTGCTATGTCCAAAAACGAAGAGTGAATCCAAATGATAAATTCCTGCACTGAAAAATAAAAAATGAGAGGACTGACAAACACTAAAAATTCTACATAGAGTTTAATTATAGAGTCCTGAGGATCCTCTAGGTTTGTCCCTGTAAGAGAGATAAAAACACATTCTTATTTCAGACCTGTTGTACAACAAAAAGATTACAGAGGCTTTTTAGGACTCTGATTGAAATCTAGTTGATGCAGATAAGTTGTTTCTTAGGAAAAGTCTTAACAAACTGTTTAGCACTTGTTAGCATCCCTTATCAAATTGTAAAAATTGTGTTGTTAAATATTCAATGTCGTACTTTTAATGACCTTGTGTCGACATTTTTTTTTTGCTGAAATTAGACTGACAATCATCTCTGTGCTGTGACACCAGTGGACAACCTCACATGATACTTTATAGATTAAATCGTTTTTGGCCTGCTTCTCTCGACTCTGTCATCTTTTTCAAAATGAGAAATGTGCCCTCACGGGTCTTCACCTCTCCATTATATCGCTTAAGCAATTAAATCAAGAGTTGAAGCTTTAGGAAAAGATATCCTATTTGTAATTATTTGCATGTGTCCTGCCAACATTTACATGATCGTCTCTGTCTCATAGTAATTGCCTGGTTCTTCCCATTGGCTCAGGGCGATGTTGTATTAGATTGTTATCTCCAACACTGTTTCCTGACACAAACTTGATGTGTCACTGTGATTGGCATTGAGGAGATGACATGACAGAGCTGGTTTTGGGGGACTGACAGATAGTTGGCAGGTTAAGGCTCCCCTGTTGGGCGCTGTGCTGCCTCAGGACAGTCACCTGTCATCTCAGGTGAAGGCTCGTCATAGCTGATGACTGGGAGCAGCAGAGTGGATATAATGGGATGAGCAGACTGACACAGACGTAGTGCAGGACTCTCTTTGTCTGTGAGGAGGGGAGGAGGAGGCCTTGCTTCAGTCAAGTGTGCCGCCATGCCTGAGAAGAGTTTGAACTCTGTGGGTGATGTGCTAGCGTGTACGGTGTGAGAACACGATCGATCCAAGTAATGCTCAGTTTGAAGTAAAGTGTCTGTCAGTCACTTATATCAGTCCCTTCAGGAAGTTAATCTATGAAAGTCGCAACACCCAACACAAGTTTGACCTGTTCTTATGCATTTTGCTCGACCTTGCATTTATTCTTCCAATCACTCCTAATCCTAACTGTATATTTGCTGCATGAAAGGGAGACTCTGTATCCACATACCAAGTGTACTTGGGAAGGTTTATGAACAATTGCCACAGTTGAAAGTATTTAAGTGCACCAGTAGTTTCATTGAAAAAAGAGCCTCAAAACATTGTAACTTGCATTGCAGTTTTAAAAAATGCAGAAATCACACATTTTATGTTCACACAGTCACGAAACAGTACATGAAATCCTTAAGGGACTAAGTAATACACTCACATTTGGTCAATAACCTTACATAGTACATACAACAATATATCAAATAACAGTTTTAGATAGTTGGCCAGATGTTATCTCTCGTATGACATCGTACAACATGTAAGCATCCAAGAAACTCATGAAACTGACTCTCATTCTTGTTCTATTGCAGATCGATTATCCTGCTTAGTCACAAGTTTAAAACAAGCATTAAAACACATCTTTCCAGAGCTCATCTGCCCGACAAGAAGAACATCCACCAGTGACATTAAGGTATGTGCTACTAGTTTTTGTATTTGACAGTATAAGTGCATAACTGTGATTTTTGGGTGTCGGGGGTCTGGGTGGTGTCTGTGTGTGTCGACTCAATCGTCGTTGCCATTTTAGCTGAGTTGCTTCAAAAGACCGTCCTGCCAAGCACAGAGGGAACATGTGTCCATCAAAGTCAGGCTGATATGAGGCGTGAGGGCTGAGGCCTGCTCCAGAGATGGAAGGGTGGGACTGACTCATACAGAAGATCAGGAATCAGCATGTCACTCTCAGCACAGCGCATTGTCACATTGCATCATCACACACTGAGTCTATGGAGAAACTTCTGCAGTACATTCAGATACAATATGTAACGAAATCAAGTGGCGAGCAAGATAAATATTACCAGACAAGAAGAACGATATGTGTCATGGCTTAGGTGGAGAAAAAGTTTAATATTTGTCACCAAACATCAATAATCAAACCTTATTCTTATGTCTCTGATTTGGGGATTTTCTCATTAAAACAAGTCATTAGAGTAAATCAGAAGAAACCATTAGAAGTTGCAAAACAGCATTATTTAATATGATAGGCTTTGCGGAAGCTTGTTCAGTTACTGTAAGTTTCTGCTTAACTCTTCAGCACATCTAAACATCATCCTAATATTTAAAGAAAATGCATAAAGCTGACATAGCGGGAAAAAATGCAAATCATCCAAAACAATAAATAGCTTAAAGCATTTATCAGCCTGGGGACAGTAAGGTTTGTATCATTGTAGTTAATTACACAGATAAAGGTTGTATTGCCCGTGAAAAGCTTTACATGTTTAATTAAATATCAAATGTACTGCATGAATTTGTAAAATTCTTCTGATAATTCCCTTTTTTCTTTTGGGTTTTGAAGCGAGCCGTTGTAAGAACTGACAATTTTCCAGAGCTTTATCGCATACTGCTCACACTTGCCAGCTGGTGCTCACCTGCCCGCTGTCCACCTTTTCCATCGTAGCAGGTTTCTATATCTCCCTGTCAAATCATCCTATCAGTCCCAGAAGTCCCCCTGAGCGTCCATCAGAGAGGCCTGTCATTTATGAGGTCTGATCTGTATTCATAACTTCTGTCAAAGCATTCAGCTTGTCCTCTGAGATTCTGTGAAGAGCTGCAGTCACAGTGTTCAACTAACCTGGAGATAATCTCTGTAACCTGCTCAGTTTAGGCTGCTTTACGTTCAGATACAGAAGTGTGCAGAAGTTTAAATGTTACCGCTTGACTTAAACAATGTCAGAAAACCTCAAAGCTCAAGAGTCGAGCTACACCAAGAGCTGTTAATCTAACCTCTGACTGTCCCTCATCTGAATCATTCAACTTTTAAATGGCTGTATTTTGAATGCTAGGGCTTGTTTTGGTTTGTAGATTAAGTGGGCACATTGATGATGTGCTATGATATACTGTATATATTTTAAATATATTTACTGATACTTAAGGATCTTTTTAAATATGTTGTCTTACCAGCTCATGTAAAAAATGATGATATATGCAGTACTATAATAGCAGAAATCAAAGGTAGTTGTGTGATCAAAATCACAGCAAAGTCCTGTATCAGTCTGCAAGAAACTTGTTTTCACGTTGTCTCGTTGATTTTTCTCTTTTACTCTGTAGAGGGACAAACTGTTAGTAAGACGTGTGTATTTTCAAAATGGGTTTGTCTGTCTTGGCAGTTGTGTTTCTAACGTCACTTGCTGCCCTTCAGAATATTCGGTTTAAAGCTCGCCACAGGAAGGTTTGGTTTCCACCCATGTAGTCCACATAAAGGTGATTCCCACATTATACCTTTCCCTCTGGGGGACGGATTAAACAATGTTCAGTCAAGAAAGCCACTTGTTTGTTAATTAGACCTTCATGAGAGAGAAAGCCATACAGATTCACAACTTGGGAACAAAAATAGCGTTTGCCTGAAGGCTGTGCTGAGTATTTATTTGGTGTTTTTATTTAGCTTGTTTTCTTTTTTTTTCGTCATTGAAGGCCCAACTGGGGGCATCTTAATTCTCTAAATGACTTTTTAAGTAGTGCTTCTGCTCCGCATGACCCAGCTGAGTGACAGGCCATTCTAATCCTTTTTCACAAGGGGAAACAGCCTTTATTGCAGCCTCTGGTCAGTTTGTTTTCCCCCAGCCCTCAACATACGGCATTTAACACTCTCATAATTAAGTAGCCGAAGCCAAAGTGCTCTATCCAATCTGAGGCCATTGGCTGCCTGGCGCTGAGTGACAGACGAGCAGAGGGGCAAGTCCTGCTGACATTTTACACTTTTTTTTTTTCCTCCAAAGTGCACAAAAAGAATATTCAAACAGTTTTAAGCAGACCTGAAACAGTAGGGTTTTTTGGATTACATAGTAATAACTGAGAATGATATTCTCATATTTTATGTTGTTTGATCAGTCCGCTTTTTAATTCAGCAAAATTAAAGTATTTGACTGAGATAAGCACTCACGCAATAATTACATGCAGTATCGGGGAGTCTCGACAGCGTCCCTGCTTGCCGTTTATCCTGCTCTTTTCTAGCCAACTGGGTGAAGGATACTCTGCCTGTTTCCCCACCCAAACTCTAGGTCCCATCTGCTCACAGAAAGGCACAACATTTGTCAAAGTAGACTGGATAATGGCTTTGGCATCCTTATTATAATCTCAGCATAATCTTCATTTGTCCACTTTTGGCATTGGGACACTTCTGGGTTTGGGAAATCGGTCAGGACTCTTAAGTGTCCTCGTTTCGTTTTCATTAGCTCAAATCTAGGCATGAAAGCTCATTTAATCCCAATTTAAAATAAAACAGTTCTGTGTGTTTTTTTTTTTTAGAGGCATACAGAGAGCTCAGGTTGTTTTGTCTTTTTCTGTGATCAGGCTGGAAAAAATGAAAAAATACAACAGTTGTAAAGAAAAACCCGCACCAACCTATAAGTCTGATTGTGCTCAATAATTCAGGCTTGTCTCTTGACAACGGCTTCTCTCTGCACATAACAAAAGTCGTAGAGCTTTTTCAAAAACCTTCCTGCTATCATGAAATAGTCAGAACAGTAGAAAAAACCAATACAATACTAGCTAAACAGACTTAATTTCCACCTCTAAGTGTTTCCAGATAATAAAGGGACAAACTTGATAACGTGTCTCTCCATTCCCCATTAAGATTGTGGCTCTCGGTTGACTACTGCTCCCCCTGTATGTGGGTCACAGACACAGTTCCCAGCTGTGCAGCCCAGTCAGCTGTGCCTTTTGCCATGCCCGCCAACATCTGCTCCACAAAAACAATATCCAGCTTTTAGCACTCAAATGGAGGTTGCACCATATGCCAGCAAGCCACTTAGTTTCTGCCAGGGGAGCTGGGGCCTGGCTGCACTCGTGGAGGTAACAATGAAGGAGAGCATCACTAGGATGTGAAGGAGAGCTCATCTCTCTCTTCCTCTTTTCTTCTAATCCTTACTTTACCTGGAACCCTTATTTTTTTCTTCTTTTTTTTTTCCTCAATCTTTAATCTTTTATTGCACTATCATATTGTTTTGTGTAAACCTTTCTGTCCCTTGCACTGCTTTCTCAGCAGCTCGTCACTCACACCATCAGTGTGTGCCTGTGTACATCTGCTCAAGGTGCTTTGGCAGCGTCACCTTTTGAATATTAATGCACCACCTAAACAACAGAATCTGCCACAAGGTCTCAGATATTTGAGAATTGTTTTGTTGAGACACTATCAAGCATATATTTTATACGGTTGACATGAAGGCTTGAACTACTTTTGACATTTTCTTGACTTCTCCTTTAAGAGAACTGGAAGACTAATTGCAGGAAAAGCAATTTGGCCGTTTAATACCAATTAAGAGTGCAGTTCAGGATACTTTGGGCTGTAGTGCTGCTCACTATGCTGAGAGGTGATAATGGATTTTTAATTAAATATGGGAACCAAAGGTCCCAAAATGGGGCTTACAACTAACCAAGCAGTGACCATTTGGTGACTGTACAGACAAGGTCTATTATAGTCTCTCTGTCGAGCCTCCTCACTTCTCGCTTTGCTCTCATGTCCACACGCTGTCCTTTCCTTCATGACATCCAACACAACTTCTTTTTAATGAGTAGAAGTGGAAGCTAAACACAAGGTTGATATTACTAGATCAAATGTAGGATAGACGCGGGGATGTGGGAAATAATTCATTTAAAGGTGTTGCTTTGTTAAGTGACTTGTAACTTCATTAATATTCATATCTCTATATTATATCTGTCATTCTACAATGTATATCTGTACGGTGTATGATATTTTGTTTTTACTAAAGCAAACAAAACACTGATGTTTTCACACACACTCTGACACGTCAACATATTGTGTCTGGGATAATCTTATTCACTTCCATCCAAGCTCTTGTCCTTGTTCAGTCTTGGGGGAGGCAGGAGAGGAGGAGGGGGGCGAGACAGACAGAGCCACACGCTAGTGGGGGGTGGATCCACTGAGAAGCTCTGGGACGGAGGGTCGGGGTTGCCTTCTGCAGGTCACGGTTTCACTTGTGGGTATTAATTTGGGAGGGCCCAGCACACAGCAGCTGTGTGTGTTTGTGTGTGTCTGTGTGTGTGTGTGTGTGTGTGTGTGTGTGATGGCCATGGTGAGAGCTGTTGGAGGAGCTAGTGAGATGTGAGAAATCACCTTGACAGGGCCTGTACTGTATATCATACTTGGAGCTGATGCCTTTCATGAATGCTGATTTAGAGTCGACTGAGGGTTTAATTACTTTCTGCTTAGTTGTTGTTGCTGTTTGTGGTTTGAATCTTGGAGGAGCAGTTTGTACAGACTTCGAAAAGATGGAAAATGTATCTCTTTGGCTTGAAAACATTTTTCTGAGCATCATCTATTTACCAGCTGGTTGAGCTTAGAAGTATAACAACACCAATAAAACTGGAACCAAAAGGCTGTGCTGGCAGCAGAGATATATTTTTCCTGTTGAAAGATAATTTTGTTAGCAACATACTGTGATTAATTTTCCAAGTTGT